TTTGTTTGTCTTTCTTATCAACAGTTGTTAAGTCTGGGGTGTTGTATGGCAGATGCTTGTCTGTTTGAATTCTAAAGTCCAAGAGCACTTTAGCTTCTTCATTTTCTATTATTTTGTCTGTTTTGTGGTTCCACCAATTCTTGCATGCAGTAGCATTGTTGCTACTTTGTCATGCCGTTGTTGGTAGTCAGTCTGTGTGATCTTCTTGCAGCAGCTAACTAGTGGTCCACTGTTTCTTCAGCTTCTTTGCAAAGGCGGCATTTGCTGTCTGTTGTTGTCTTCTCATCATTGTTGTTGTTGTTGTTGTCACTCTTTTTAAGATGGGCAGTATCCAAATTTGAAAAATAAATAAATAAATAATACAATACAATACAAGGTAATATTGTTATTTCCAAATAACTTCATGTTACACATTTTTTGAACAATATTTTGCAAACTAGCTTCAAATTCTTATCTGTGTTTGGACAAGAGGGATATAATGTCATACTTGTTTAACATTTATAGATTATTTTTTTCTTCATAGCCTCTCTTTGAAGGCAAAAATGCATGTTTTATTTTAAGCTCCTGTCAAAATTAAATTTCAGTCCTGTATCTAACTCCCATTATGAGGACTCTGCTATGTGCCAGTGATGAAAGTTTGAGTCAGCAGGAAAATGCACTGGGTTGAGAAACCTATAACATGGGTTCTTAATTTATATGTATTGTTTTATCTGCATTGGAAATGATTAGGTAAATATGCTATGAGGATATATAATTAGTTATATTACAGATTCTAAGTGAAGCATGCCTGTAATCAGTTTTTATCTCTGCAGTTAGGCCAACAACTAAAGGAAATTAGATTCTTATTTGGGAAAAATAAGTTGAAATATGTGGAAATATTGTTACCTCTGCTTTCTTGTTCATAAGCACAGGGGTGATCTTGCATCTCATTTTGGAGAGCTGCACATTGACTGCAGTGAGTGGGTTGCACCTCACAGACAAAAGGAGGGCTTTAGAAATAGGAGAAGAATGACAAGTTGTCAGAAGTTCAACTTAGATTTTCCAGCATTGCTCTACAGCAACAATGGCCAACGTTTTTCTGTTCTGAGTCTGTTCCCCCAGAGCTACTCTGTTGGAGCTGATGCTAGGCAGTGGGTGGGGATGTCCATTCTTCCTCTCTTTCTTATCTACCTTGTTCTCCTTTTCTGTGACTCTCTCAGTCAACATGCTGCTGAGAGCTCTTGTCAGAGGAGTCACCTTGGCATGGAGATTTTGAAGTGAGTCCAAGAGCCACATATGGCTAAGGACAAGTTGCACACCTCTTCTCAACAGTGTTTAGGCAAGGCTGTTTCTGATTTGGTCTTCCTTGTGTAGCCAAGCAAGCAAAATCTCACCAACCTTTCCAAAAATCAGGACCAGTGGGGGCGATGGCCAGTTCAGCATTGCTCTTTGAATGTGTTCCAGTTGCCTTTGGCCATCAGTTTTTATCTCTTTTCAAGCCATGTGGAAGGCCAGTGACTTTCTCCCTCTCCTTGACTTTTCTCTCTTTTTTCTTTTTCTTTCTCCTGGTCTGACCAGAACCTTCAAGTCTTCTTTTCTTTTAGGAGCTGGTGAAGCAAGGGGTAGCCACACATCTGCTGGGGTGCTCTCTGCCTACTTTTGTAGCTTTAGTGTTGGAAGGTAGCTTGGTTATTTGTTTGTCTGTTAGATTTCTGTCCTGTCTTTAGTTCAGGAGCTCAATGCAGCACACATACACACCTTCCTCCCATTTCCCCCTACAACAGCCCTGAAAGGTAAGTTGGGCTGAGAGAGAGGGAGTGATTCAGAGTCATCCAGTGAGCTCCTATGGCTAAGGGTAGATGAGAATCTGAGCCTTTGCAGGGCCAGCCAGCACCTTGACAGGATCACCACATTGAGAGTAATGTATGGCAAATATAATAATAGAAGCTTGCTGTTTGGACTAAAATGCAATTTTTAAAAAAAAGCATTAAAAGATGATGTTCCTGGTTTTTTAGTTGCTTGGGAATCCTAGTGAAAATGTAAGACTACACAGCTCCAAACCTAATCCCTCTATTTTATAGAAAACTTCACAATGTAAGTACGTGGACATGGTTGTAATCCTTTGGAAATTTACTTGGAAGAAAATTCTATTGGACTCAGTGACATTTGCTTTTGAATAAGACCCATACAAGTGTGTTGTAAATCTGTTTAATTAAACTATATTAATACTGAATACTAATCATAGCGGCACAGGAGTGGCACACAAATTACAGTTGAAACTTTATCAGAAGCAATGAAAAATGTATTAATACTACAGAACAAACAAATTTGAAAGTGAATAAAAATATTCATTTTTTCAATGGCCTATTAAATATAAATAATGCTACCTTGCAGAATTTGGTCATGTTCTTTAGCATTTTAAAATTTAATGAACTGGTTTTTTTTCCCCAATTCAGATAAATACAAATGAAATTACAAGATTTTCTGATTTCCCACTATCCAGAAAAACTCTGAAAGGTAAGAATGGAATCCATAAGGATAAAAATGTCCTCAAATTGAATATTACTTCTAGTGATTATTAACATGCAGTTTTGGGTTGCTTACAATCTAGCTTACAAACATGGACCCTCATCCAAGTACTAACCAGGCATGAGGCTACACAAGATCAGCCAGGTTCTGTCACCCATTAAGACTTCAACATCTTTATGTCAGCCAATATGGTAGTAATTTCCTTTTCTATACAATTAATCATTTTGGTTCACTGTAATTCCCCTCCCAACCTCCCCCATTTTATAAAAGTTTTCTACTTAGTTGCCTTGAAGTAATTTTCAGTCACCTATAAGTAAAGTGGCAGTAATTATTTACAAGCGACTTGATCAGAGTAGTGTGTGTCTGTGTGTGCGTGTATAGAGTTTAGTTAAACTATATAGATACTGAATATTATTCACAGGAGTGGCACAATTACAGCTAAAACTTTATAAAAAGCAATTAAAAACTCTAATAAAGTAATAAAGACTTAGCTGGTTTAAGATAAGAAAATTGTACATGAAAACAGTACAGCCTCTGCAACTCTAATTTTATAGTTTATCATGTGTCAGAAGCTGCTCTTCTTATATGTGTGAAAGTGATTTTGTTCATAAAGAACTACATGCAAATTCAGTTAGTATTTCCTGCATAGAATAATCACCTTCATCAGAATTCTGGGTATCTCACACCATGTTGAAACATGGAAAAATGCTCATTTTGAGTGGTTCTTTTTGAACCAGCACCATGGAACTTCTCTGAACGATCTGATTCATCCATCATGCTACACAATTGTTTGCTTAACCACCATTTGCAGAATAAGCCACAACTGAGTGGCATTACCTGCATGCTAAATGAAAACCAGACAAAATTATGACTTGTGTAGTATGTGAACCCAATGCAATCTTCATAAATTTACTTGTTGTGGTGGTTTGCTCTATATAGTTCCATGTAGACCAGTATTTTAATGTAGGATTTGATTTAGTTATATTGCTTTGCTTGTCTGTCTTCTTCTGATTTGTACATTTTCCTTTATACACTTTATTCATTCACTGAGGGCTGGTCTAGATGCATCTTTGACTGTTGAGTTGTGCCCTATACAATGCTTAGACTGAGTTATATTGTAGAGGGAGGCTGTGACTGGACAAACATGAGTCAGCAGCATACAAATTTAAATAACAGCAATAACAACAACAACAACAACAACAGAGCTGCTACTCTGCTTCTGAGTAAAGACCTCATGAGTCCAGTGAAAACTCATTTACCTGCAAATCTGACTTAACTAAGACTGGTTAGTGGCAGAAGGGGCATTATCGGAGAGATGCCCTCTGCTGTGACTATCCAAATCCTTCTTGAATAAATGGCAAATTCCAAGCATGTTGAAACTGAGGTCTTGTCTTCTGTATATCAGGCTTACAGGAAGCTCAGTATCGCATGGTGACTGAAATCCAGAAGCAGACCATAGGTTTGGCATTACAGGGCAAAGATGTGTTGGGAGCTGCCAAGACGGGATCAGGCAAAACCTTGGCTTTCATTGTGCCTGTAAGTAGGGAAATTCTTGTTGTATAACACCATATAAGCTAATTTGTATCATATTTTTATTAGTGGAGGAGTTGGTCAGAGTCACTGAAGGGCGCGTTGTCTTTGCCTAGGCCAGTGTTTCTCAACCTTGGCAACTTCAAGATGTGTGGACTTCAGCTCCCAGAATACTGGCTGGGGGTATTCTGGGAGCTGAAGACCACACATCTTAAAGCAGCTGAGGTTGAGAAACACTGTTAGAGAGAATACAATATAAGAACATGGGCTATGGCTCATTTATGATCATACTGGCTGGGGAATTCTGGGAGTTGAAGTCTACACATCTTAAAGTTGCCAAGGTAATATGGCCCAGGATAAGAAGGGCTCTGGCAAGAAGGAATTAGTTATCCAGCTACTCCAGACTTTGTAGATTGCAAGATCTGTGATTTCCAGCTACGATGGGCAACATGATTATGGAAGTTATAGTCCAGCATACCTACAGAGTTAAGGAAGGTTGCTCTAACAGAAACTTTTACTCAAATAATTCATAATGCTCGTAATTGGTCATTTTTGCTTGTATCATGTGATACAAACAGCATACAAAATCCATTTTTTAAAATGTTCAGTATTTTTATATTGCCTACTTTTCAAACTTTTCAAAGCCAGTGCATATATAAATAATAAATAGCATGAAATAATCAAACCCAATATTAAAGCATCAAGATTATAGAATGATGTGTTGTAGCGTTTGATGGATGCACTTAGCACTGGGCATTTTGTGGGAACTTAAAACAGCTTAAACCTTGCAGTTGTCAGTCAGCTGCACTTTCCTTCGACAAGGGACTCTTCACTGGGCAGATGATATGTTCTGCCTTGTTGAGGTATAGAAGTGATGTCATTTTTTTTGATGAGTGCTTTAGTGCACAAGAAACCTCTTTTTTTAAAAAAATAGTTTTTATTAAAAGATTTTGCATAGATGAAAGAAATATGTTCAAAGGAAAAAAATAGTAAATACGAAGAAGAGAAAAGAAAAGGGGACCTATGGCAGGTTAGACATCCATGAGTGGGGACAGCACCGCAATGAGGATCAGTGGCCAGGTGGCAAGTTCTGGCCAGCAAAATTTTCTCCAGAGAAGGAGAGATCAGGAGATCACCCACTTGTGCTCTGAATAGCTGCTCCTCGTGAGGAGACCACAGAAATTGAGTTTCTTGTGGTTGATTGTGAGTTGAGCGGCTTGGGAGCTGAGGAAATAACACTGCATTCAAAACTGCTGAGTGCACAAGAAGCATCTCTTGAACATCTCTTATTGGGAATAGATATCTGCACATGTATCGTCCATGTGCTGAAGCCCCTTTGCTCCAGCAAAGTGATCCAGCTGCTGTGCTGTTTAGAAATCAGGACTCCTGTTGCTTGTGAAGGAGAGTTTCACATCAGACTTCTTTGAAGTGAGTTACTGCTTCAAAGGTTTGCCTTAGAAGCAAATATTGTCGTTGGTTGCAGTTTAATAATAAAAAGGTGTACTCCAGGAGGGCATCTGACAAACTTTCTAACTAGCACTTTTACCTGTTCAGGCTCTAGAAATCTTATACCGCCAGCAGTGGACTGCCATGGATGAGCTGGGTGTTCTGATCATATCTCCTACCAGAGAATTGGCATACCAGACGTTTGAAGTCCTGCGCAAGGTGGGGAAGAATCATGAATTTTCTGCAGGTCTAATTATTGGTGGAAAGGTAGGCTCTCCTTTTTAAAAATAATTTGGCGGGGGGGAAATAAGAATATTTGAGAGATGTTTGTTGAGAGAGATGCAGTGGATTTAGAACTTTAGGTGTGCATAAACCTTTTTTTTTCAAATCGAGAACAAACCATTGTACTCCAAAAATTCTGCAGGGCGATTTCAGGTCAGCCCCTGGCTAGCCTGACCCTTGATCCTTCTCTTTTTCTCCTCTTCCTCCCTTAGTCACCACCGGCATGGCATATCCCCTGATCTTCCTAGCACCATTCCTTCTTTACTTAGCTACTGGCAACGTACTCCATCTGGCAATTCCTGCCAGTCTTCCTGCCTATCCAATATTTCCAGTTGCATTCCTTCTTTCTGCATAAGTGCAGGAAAGTGTTGGCCATGTTCCAGAATTCATTTTAGATAACAAGAAAACTCAAGAGGTTTGGTCCAAATCCCACATCTTCTGAAAGCAAATTCTAGAGCAGCCATGTACTCTAGAGCCCCCATTGTTCCCATCCAACCTGATCATATTTTGAAATTTATACTTAAACATACCTAGAGGGCTCCAGGTTGGAAAATGCTGCCGTAGAAGTATGCTTGTTTATGACGGTAATAAAGCTTGATTTATTTACTAACTAGAATTTTCTGCAGTGCACTGAGTTTCCCAGTCAAAGCAATAATAGAAGGCTGTCCCTAAACTTTTAGCAGTTAATAAATATTTTATAATGTTGTCCTGAAAAGGAAAAAAAGAAATTCAAAAGCTCTCAAGGATTGTGACTGTATACCCCAAACTCACATGGGTAGGAAATGTTTTTTTTCCTTCTGATATGCTCATTTTCTATATATGAAAGTCCCACTTCCCCACAACATAAAAGAACACTCTAAAATCTGTTTATAACACATTATTAGAATAAGGAATCTGTCCAACCAGCGACACACTACTTATCTGTAGATTGAGATTTCAGTAAGAGCAGGCACCTTGCGCAAGATATCTAAACATCTCCCATCAGGCACAGCCAGCATGGTAAGTAGTCAGGGTTGATGGGGTTATAATCCACAGTGCCTGGATCATTTCAAATTTAATAAACCATTGTACAATAATTTTACAAGCATTGTTCTTTTTCCAAGTGGAGGCTTGGTATGTGTGGACAAGCTGGGATATTGTTCCCATTGAAATTATCACAGACTGGAAGCTATTTCATCTTCAGAGTCGTGTGTGAGTGTGTAATTTGTTGTGCAGATGGGGGAGCTTTTCTGTGCTATTGAAGATGTATGGGGAAAACTCTGATTTGTTTTGCGAGGTGATGTGCCATGCTCAAAGTGGCTTTGTCTGGGTGAATGCATCTTCCAAAATGCATCCTAAACTCCCAACCAATTTGCTTTTTCAGGACTTGAAACAAGAATCAAGCAAAATCCATAATATGAATATCCTCATTTGTACTCCCGGTCGTCTTTTACAACACATGGATGAAACTTCGTATTTCCATGCCTCTAATCTGCAAATGCTGAGTAAGTATAAAATATTAGTAGGGAGCCTTTGATCCTGGATCTGTTCAGTGTGAATTCTGATTCGGAGCTTTGCTTGAAATCTTAACATGAAAGCTGCCGCCTTCTAACCTTAAACTTCTTATGGAGCTGATGCATGCCTGTCGCACTGGGCAAATCACAGCATGCAGAGAGCATTCCTTAAATTGGAAGTAAAGGGAAGAATCTACTCATCCAAGATAATTATACTGATTTCATTTTTTCCAGCTTCCTGGACAAGACTCCTAAGTGTCTTAATGTTTTAAAATTAAAACACCTGCATAGATGGCTGCATGGAATTAGGAATAGCAATAATGTTGCATGCACAAGACTGTGGTGTTATGTACATGTGGAGTAGGGCACATGAAATGTCTACAAGCACATCAGCACATTTGGGCAATAAGTAGGGGACCCCAAATCTAACTATGTTATATGAAACAGCCAACTGTGTTTTATTTAAAACTTTAAAAAAAAAAACACACCCTGATTCCCCCAACCTGCTTTTTTCATTCCAGTCCTTGATGAAGCTGATAGAATTCTGGACATGGGCTTCGCTGATACAATGAATGCAATTGTAGAAAACCTTCCCAAAAAACGGCAGACCCTGCTTTTCTCAGCCACGCAAACCAAATCTGTGAAGGACCTTGCTCGGTTGAGCTTGAAGGATCCAGAATATATCTGGGTGCATGAAAAAGCAAAGTTCAGGTTGGAGTCCAGCTTATGTAGTCTTCAAAGAAATATGTGTGTTTTTGGTATTTTTTCCCCCATTTTGATCCCCAAGATTGATGGAAGAACCATGTTTTAAGGGCTTTCTGGAAGGTTAACAGGGATAGGGCTAACCGCACCTCAGGGGGAATGATGTCCCAGAGGGCGGGAGCCACAGCAGAAAAGGCACGTCTCCTGGGTCCCGCCAGATGGAACTCCTCAGTAGATGGGACCCACAGCATACCCCTCCTTCTGGACCTGGTGGGATGGGTAGATGTAACTGGGAAGAGGTGGTTCTTCAAATAACCTGGCACAGTAATTTGAAGAACTACGTATATTTGATTCTAATTACACTTAAATGAGAATGAAATGAAGTGACATTTATGTTTTACCTTGGCCCTAGTCACTCCTTTTGGGAATACGGTCCCTAGTAAATGCCATGCAAAAACAAAGGATGCCCCCAGCTTGAAAAAAGTTGGGCATCCTTTGAGGCACATGCTTACTTGAACATATATTGCTTGTTTTTCATTGCTTTTTTCCCCTGATGTTTTTACCTATTGTATATTTCTCCTCTGGTACTTTTAGTACTCCAGCAACTTTGGAACAGAACTACATTGTTTGTGAACTGCACCAGAAAGTCAATATGTTGTACTCTTTTCTGAGAAGTCACCTGAATAAGAAGAGTATTGTATTTTTTGCAAGCTGTAAAGAGGTATTGTATAATCCCATCTTTTACTATTTATAAAAAACAGCGTTAGTTATGATTCATAAAAATCAAACGGATAACAGTCATGCAGGGTGGTACATCATAGATTATCCACCTGCCAATATATTCTCCATTAACCAGAAAGTTAGAATATGTTGATAAATATTGTAAAACAGGAAAGTAGATGAAAGCAGGTAAACTGTTTTGCTGCTGTATCCCTGAGGCTGGAGAGCATTGTTGTGACTATAGTCTAGTCATGTTATGTATCAAAGTAGCTTTATAGAAGTTAGTAGTTAAGTATCCAAGCAAAGACAAGTTTGGGATGTAGGTAGAGGCGAGTGCCCCAGCTGGACTTCTGCAGGCATCCTTGTATTGTATTCGAGGAAGCGCCTGCTTTGTTTATAAATGGACCAAACATGTCATAGCAAGCATTGTCTTCCAAGCATTTTATCCTCTGAGAGGAAAGGGAAGGTACCTTTCCTGACACAGTGCCTTGTGAGTGTAGCTTTTAATAAGCACTTGGCTTAAAAATGCCTTGTCTGATACGCCTTTAGATCAAAGGGTGCTTTTTTGTAAAGACAGTATTGTTTTTGGAATGACTCCAATTAAATTGTGGCGAGATCCTTTTTTGAGATATCATGAAATTTAAAACAGCCTCAGCTCTGTTGGATGTAGCTATAAATCTGTCAGTAACTGAAAAGATTATGGTGACAAAAGACCTGGCGATTGATTAGGTTGTTAGATGCCACGAAATTGACGGAAGAAGGTATGTTCAGCGGCAGAAACGGATATATCAACTGAATTAATGAGATTTCAGAAGGGAATTGTAAATTCTGATCATGCTCCTGAGTTTTCCACAGACCTCATTTTTACGAAGCACAATGGTGGATGGTGAAAACCCAGTCCTTTTTTAGAAATGTACCTATCTGCCTAGAAAATAAGGCAAAAGTATGCTAAAGTTGTGAGAACCGGGTCTAGAGGTTAAGGCTCCAGGCTAGAAACCAGGAGCCTGTGAGTTCTAGTCCCGCCTTAGGCATGAAGCCAGCTGGGTGACCTCGGGCCAGTCTCTCTCTCTTTCTCAGCCCTAGGAAGGAGGCCATGGCAAACCACTTCTGAAAAAGCTTGCCAGGAAAACTGCAGGAACTAGTCCAGGAATCAAAAACTGACTAAAAAAACAAACAAACTGAAGTGGTAGAGAGCATCCATTGGTCAGCAGCTCTCAGCCATCACCTCCAGAGAAGCCATTCTTTTGAAAGAGCCCACCACATGTTTCTTAGATTCCAAATTTGCTCATTGACTTCAAAAGGTTGCCTTCTTCTGGTGTTTGGCTTCAATTCCCGAGGTAATTTTGTGAAAATTGCTGCATGATAAATGATAGGAAAGGAATATGATATGTCCGGGAGGAAAGGACATTTTTTCTGTTTTTTTCCCCTGGAGATATGAAGCCTTAACTTGGCTTTTTCCTCTGCTTTTTTTCATATTTTTGCAGGCCTTTGCATCCCTGTGTCTGGTTAGTTGGGGTAACAAAAGTGGCTATTCCACCTGTTGTTGTTATTATTTTAAACTGGTGCTGAGGAAGCTGCTCCTTTCTAAGCACGCCATTATATGTCGTCTTTTGGGATATCTTTTAACATCCCAATCTGGCCCATAGCCCTAGGTTTTCCTGATAGTCTCCCATGGAAGTGTTAACCAGGTCTGACCCTGTTTAGTTTTTCTAGATCAGCCAAGATCGGTTAGGTGGTGCTGGTCTACCATGCAATCAGTATGTAACATAAACTAGTTTTGCTCATAGAACTTATTGTTAAAATTATTATTGGTTTCTAGGTTCAGTATTTGTTTAGAGTGTTTTGCCGCCTCCGTCCGGGTCTCCCTATCCTAGCTCTTCATGGCAAACAGCAGCAGATGAAAAGAATGGAAGTTTACCATGATTTTGTGCGCAAGAAATCAGCAGTTCTTTTCGCTACGGATCTTGCAGCTCGCGGGCTAGGTAAATAGTTTTGCATTTCTCCACATGGTCCAGTTCTTGCAAATCAGTTGTTAAATTCATCATCTGAGGAAGAGACGAAGGCCCAGCTGGCTGAGGTTGAATGGAGAACTCATGTTCTCCAGCAACAGACCCAAGACTCTCCCCTCTGTGCTCTCATTGCCTGTGTCCCCTCCAGCTGCTTCCTCCACAGTCATGCCCCTGTTGCTTCAAGTCTGCTGTAGCTCAGGAATGAGACTAGTTTAGTTCCCTGCTAGGCAAGATCCAGGTGAGAATCCAGAAGGCCAGCCAAGCAGGAGGGGGAAGAGGAGGAGCTGGGAAAGAGCAGAACCCGGTGTTGCCTAATTCAGATAGTGCCTCGTCCACATCTCTATAAGTTTAGGATTTGTACATGTTGATCTTTCCAATCTTGAATCCCCAGGTGACAGTGGACTTCAGTTTCCATAATCTCTGGTCAGGATGGTCAGATTTATCTAGAGATCAAGTGTTAATTAATTAATTAATTTATTGATTAGTCAGTTGACCAACAACAACAGAGTGTAAGCTAACAGAAGGATAAAGTAGGTATAAATATACCAAAGTACGGAACAAAGAAAACTCAGATAAGTGCATCACCTTTACATGTGACCCCAATCTGTTCTATGTAACGAGCTCTTAGCTGAACAGCTTTAATTATAAACTTGGCAATTCTACTGGCTATATATTTATTGGCACCCTGTTGTTGAGATTCCAGTAGGGAGTTTTGTCAAGTAAAGGTTCTAAATACTGGGCCTTTGCTGGAGCATATAATTGGCATTCAAATAAGACATGTATAATGTCTTTGATATTTAGGCCTAGAGATCAAGTGTGGGCAAGGGAATCTTCAGTTAACTTTTCCTTCTCTAATTCTGCACTTTGCTGAAGCTATATCTATTCCAATGTTAATATATACTTATGCATTTCTTGCATTTTGAATGTGAAGATCTGATTGATATACTGTAAAGTAGGGTTTTATAAAAGTGGCGGTTTTCAATGTAATGGGTCATTATCTTAGTTCAGCTGCTTCCAGCATAACTATCTTTTAAAGAGAGATTTGGGTGGGAGGGGAGAGGGGGCAGGGTGTGATAGGAAAGGAAATAAACAGAAGGAAAGAACAGAGACCAGACAAAACCTTAAAAGAAAAAGAATATATTAGGAAATGAATTAGTATTAAAAAGTTAGCCCAAAGAGAAATTGGATTAGTTCCTAGCTATAAATGCACTGAACACTGCTGGTTTTAAATCATAAATGGCCAATTTTACTTTTCAATTTGTAAAATACAAATGATCTCTCTCCCCATTACCAAGTTTAAAATTATGCTTCCTTTCATTATTTAGGAAATGAAGATTCTATTCATTTTAGTTCTCTCTGACAAATACATGTAGCTAGAATATGTGATTAATTGTACTTTGTGAACAGTCTCTTTTAATGCAGTGCTGGTAAAATAGACCTGAAGTGCAGAATTCATATGAAATTATGCTGTTAGCATAGAAACTATTCATCTGTGACTGGATTTCAAATTATTTCTTTACAGATTTCCCTGCTGTGAACTGGGTCATTCAGGTTGACTGTCCGGAAGATGCAAATACTTATATTCACAGAGTTGGGAGAACAGCCAGGTACGTCCTTTGTGCTGTAGAATGGCTTTCGCTAATTCAGTGTACTCTGGCTATGTCAAACTGCATCTTCAAGAGTCAGCCAGCCAGGTTAACTAACAGTTGTGGGCATTGCAGCCCCAATATCTGGAATATATTGAAGAAAGCTGTTCAGTGTTAAACTATTCATAGGTTTGAGAAAATATTATTGTTAGCCCTGTTATTACATTAGATCAGTGTTTTTCAAGATGCTGGGGAATTCTGGGAGTTGAAGTCCACTCGTTTTAAAGTTGCCAAGTTTGAAAAACTCTATATTAGATTACATTATTAGTTTGTGAGTGGATTCTCATGCTTTGTTTGACAGCCAAGATGACTCACACTGAAAAAAGAGAGAGTGAGGAAAAGTGTGACTGGTACTTTAAGATGTAGTTTAAATATCACATTTCTTCTCCCTCTTTCCTCTCCTCTTTCCGGTATTTAGCCGTTGTGCCAGGTGATTGTGGTTCCTTGTGAACTGTAATACTTTTTTAGCGTTGGTCTAATGAACACTTTCCTTCAGTGTGAATTTTGAATTCTTTTCCCTCGTGGTCAGCCTGGTTGAGTTTGTTTTTTATGAGGGAAACAGGTTATAGATTAAATATTTAATTATGCAAAAACCTGACACAGCTCAGTTTCCGAGCCTTGAGGTTCTAGTAGCCTGGCTTATATTAATCATGGCAGAAAAATTGATAGATCGGTATGGCTAGGAGACAGTTTGCCTGAGTAGAGTGGATGAGAAGCAGGTAGGAATATGTTTGCTGTGGGTTGTAAAATATTTATTAGATGCATATATTGCTCCTGAACAAGGTTCTACTTTCCTGTTGAGCTCTGTAAGCAAGTTTGCACCTGTTTAACTTCAGTAAAGCTGGAATAACTTTTGGACACTGAACTGTGTATGTTCTTGGTATCTGTTCTGCATATGAATTTTGTTTATCATTTAGCATTGGTTCTTGCAACTTTTGTGGGAAAAGCACCAGTTAAGCCTTATTTTCAGTTCATGTTACTTGCTGAGGTCAGGTTGGCTAGAGTGGATATATAAGCAGCCTATTTCAGAAATGGAGAACCTCATGTTTTATTTATTAAGCTTCTAGTGCTTCTGAGAGAGCAGAATGACAACATGGATTCTCTAGAGACTTGGAAAACCAGGGTAGAAATGTCAAATGTCGTGAATGTTTTACCCCATATTCAATTATGTCTTTGGCTTTTTGTTTTATAAAAAAAGAAATCTACTGTAAAAACTGTGGTATTTGTGGTGGTTATGTCTCTGTCCATAGCAAAGAAGGTTTTATTATTTTGGTTTTAGACAGTATGTGATGCCGATATGCCCTGACATCTTTTGTGTTTTCCAAGAAGAGCTTGTTGAAGTTCACTTGGGAAATCTTGTCTATCTTCTGATGCATTAGATCTGTTTTTGTTTTCTCACCTACTCAAAAATTCTGTTTGGGCAGGTTATAGATTTATATCTCTTCCCTTACTGCATGTTATTTTAAAACTATGTTTTCTCTCAGGTACCCCTATGATTCATTATACATATTTCTAAGGCATTATACAATATGTTGTGCACTATAATAAATACAAAAAAGATTAAACTGCCTTGAGGAGAGTTTGGCCATTTTGATAATGTAATGGAGGTTTCTCTCAGGCTTACGAACAAAAACTCGGCAGTAGTTCCCAGATGGCCAACTTGGCATGGCTTGATGAGGTGCTTAAGCTTGAATTCAGCCGAAAACTCAGATTCCTGAAGGCGAGATAAACGCGTTTATCTCACACTAGGTTGGAGCCACTAAAACAGTTGATTGCTTCTGTTAACATTAAAGTGCCATTTAATTTAATTCCAGCACTTCTTTTTCCTCTCCTTCCCATGGCATAATGTACTTTTTGCCTTGGGCTTTCCATTCTTCAAGCTTGGTGACTGTTGTTTGTGGACATTACTTACCGCTCTGACCTGGGAAACTTTGGCTCTCAACTTATTCTGTTCCCCTTCTCATTAGTGGCAGGATGAGTTGCGCTGATGGTCTCAAAGTTAAAGTTTGTTTTCTGTGTACCAGAATTGGATGGAGTGTCATGTACTGATTAAAAACATCTGGACATTCCTGGAGTCGTTTTTGTATGGCACAGCCTGAAGATACTGTATTAAGGAGCAGGTGGAGGAGGAATCTGCAATAGAGGACCCAGCAGGACCAGGGGAGAGATTTGCTGAGTGAAATGGCTGGTGGAAAGGATTGAAGCTTTTAGAGGATGTTGGTGAGGATAGCCTGACAAAGGTGTCAGAATTCAAGAAGCTCAGGAAAGAGTTGTTTTTCCCTCTTTCTATTCTCCCTACTCGGCTAGAAGCAAGCCGGGAGTGAAAGTATTGAGAAACATTGCATGAGTCAGGGAGGGAAACATAACAGACTCTGAAAAGCTCTGTTTGGGATTGTCTGGGTAGAACTGTAGGTATATAATTTTCTTAAGCTAAGACCACTCTATCTATTGGAAGTGCACAAATTATCTACTTAAAAGCACCACAAAAATAAACACTGTAATTTAGACAAGAACTGTCTGTGTGCATCTGGAAAGTTTATACCCTTTCTCTTGCCCTCTGACACCATCCCTCATTCGGTCTGATTCAGAGTGAAAGGGAAGGAGGACATTTCTCCCTGCAACTTGGTCTCAGTGGCAAATGGAACTTCTTTTTCTGGGATCTCAGTGACAGGAATGAGGAGCATTTCTGATCTCCTCCCTTCAGTCTCCATGTCTGAGTGCTGTTTATTGGCAGAGCTGGCCAATTTCAGGGTTGTCTTCTTCCAGTGTAGGAAGCTGAGAGGCAATGGCAGCAGTAAAGGGTCTGTCTGTTTACAAAATGGCACTTAAAATGGGTATTATGGGTACAAAGTGGGTGATGATGCAACCATTTATTAGGAGGCAAAGTAGTGAGGGTACTCTGCCCATCCCTTAGGATGCTGTTTATCAGTCCAGCAGGTTGATAGGTTTTCAAGCGAAATACTAAGGCTTCACTGCCTAGTGTTGTTGTTTTCTAATAAGCCCTATGGGATCTAGAAGTATCCGTCCCCCACCCATTTCCCATGCATTATTTTAATTAAGAGAAAATGGGAACAAGTTAAAACCAAGTGGAGTAGGCAGCCTTGCGGGTGCCATGACAAGATTAATAGGTTGCATTGGAACCCATGAGCTTTAGTTGGCTTACTTCTGCTTAAGAAGAACTGTAAAAAATTTATTAGGAAAACCAACCCAAACAAAATAGAAAACGAGTTTTTTGGCAAGTCCCTGGTTTAGCTTTCACTTGACCTGAACTACCCACTGAAATGAGAAAAAGCAATTTCCTAGCTTCAGTGCTTGCAGAATAATTTTGTTTTATCAAATGGGAGCAAAGCATGAAGTTAAATTAAGGCAATATCTGATGTTCAGATATTCTTTAAGAAGAATGCAACAGGATTGTTGTGTTGCTAGAGAGGTTGCCATGAACTTTGTATTACTTTCTCATGGAAGGCTAGTTTGATGACACAGATTACAACCCCAAAATAGTAGAACAATGGTGTCTTCACGCAGAAATATTTACAGCCATTTGGTTTGCAATTTTGTTTCATGAAGTTTATTTTGATCAAATTTGATATAAAGCAAAATACAGTGCCACTAGAGGACAGCAGTTAGTTTTCATTTTTGGAAGGTCACTTTAATGCGTTTTTTTGCCAACAAATGACACATACTTTAAATGTTTTACACGTACACCTAAGTCTCAGTGCCCAGTTTGTACATTGCACTCAGCCTGACTGCAAACATACTGGCTTGCAACTGATGCGTGCTTTGTTTGCTGGGTGTAGCTAGCAAATTTAGCTTAGCATAGCTAAGCCTGGTTTTGAACCTAGAAGCAATTAGAGAATGAAATCATGATTTGTTTCAGTTTTAGCCTCTGGTTTCTTCCAAACTGGGATGCTCCATTCAGACGTTGTGCCTGGGCAGGAAAAAAAAATCTCTTTGTGGGTATAGAAGTGAATAGCATGGGGATTTTTTGAAAATGGCACTGTTCTGAATCTCAAAAGAAGCAGAGAGCGATAAGTAATGTGCAGATTATTTCTCACACTGATAAAAAAGACTAGCGGCTACCAAAACAAAAAATAGATGCAGACTGTCCCTTCTTCACTACAAGAGAAGAACATCCAGTTCTTTACAATGAAAAAATGGGAGGCGACCGACAAGAGCTTTGCAGTGATCAACTGCCTATATAATGGTGTCTCATTTGAAAGTAAGGTTCTCTTTGGAATTCTCTTAGCCTTCCTTTTAATAAGGCTATTAATCAAAGTGCCTAGATTTTTGTTCCTTGGACTTTTTCCAGATTTGACTACAAGGAGGAAAATCTGACAGTCAGCAAGATTCCATAACCACTGGTTAGATATATTCAAGGAAAGTGCTCAGTCTGATCAAGTCTTTTAGAACATGAATGGATAAACTGTTTATAGTGAATGCAGCTGTGGCCTGAGTGACTAACAACGGCAAATTTTAGAGTGTTGAAACTTCCTTAATTCTTAGGATGGGGTTTCTGCAGAATAACCTATACTTTGTGGTATATAGATAGAAACAACCTGGTCTAGATTTTTATGTAATAATGTTTGTGAGCTTAAATTATTGGAAGCTCACCAATTGCCACTTAATGGATGGAATAATTGTCCAATGATATTTATGCATGTTTTAGATATTGCAGAACAATAAGCATAGCTTTTGAGAGATTTTGAGCATGAAGCAGGAGATCTTCATTCTTAAAGTTCCAGATCTACTGTTCTTTGCTTGTAGAGTGGAAAGTCATATACTGTATTCCTCTAAATTTTGTACACCAAGAAATGCCCCTTCTCTCTTTGGCTTATGGCTTGAGTAGATGGCTTTGTGAATATACCACAGATATAATCACTAACAAGTACATTTTTAAAGAAAATCTGATGAAAGTTTTTGCTGTTCTTAAGAGCAACAAAAGAACTGTCCCTAAGCATGGTGGAAATGGTTGGATGACAGCAATATGGTTCACTGATTTCCAAATATCATAACATTTCATTGCTATGAGGACACATTCCGTATATAGTATAGGTCAAGGAAAAGAAGTATGTTGTCCTGGTATTTGTGCTAGACCTTGGTGGTACTTGGAGACAGGAAAAGAATGACTCAGTATCTCTTCCACATCAAAACCACGGAGGCTTTTAAAATCATCTTATCTATGCACTGGCTGTCTTCAGTAACCCAGGATCTTGGTACTATGAGAAAGCTGTGTCTTTGTGCACTGCAGTTTGTTTGCTCTGCTTCGCTTCTGCTACAGAAATCGTATAATTTACCAGGATTTCTGACTCCAAGGGCTTGCATTGTTGCATCCTTTTAATAGCTAGGATAGGAATCTTTGTTCTTGGCTTCAAAGGCTGACTTGTTTGGCAGGAACAAGGGTTTGCTTTTTGGTTGGTTTAGATCAGTGGACAATCTTTTTTCTGTTATGCCCTGCATTTTCTCAGGGGCTAAGAAATGGGAGCTTGTAAATGGGATTAAGATGAGTTTGGGGGGGGGGGGACCAGAGGCAGAATTGGGCAAGGATAGTCCCTTTTTTTCCCCCCAAGCCAGAAGGCTGAAGGTGAGAAACAGATATTACTGCCAGAGATCTGAACTAATTTCTAGCAGAAGTGCTTTAAAATTAGACCAATGGATGCATATCAGTAGAGCGTATTCCTGGTAATGGAAAATTCAGGTGGGAGAAAATGAACCAAATGCATTAGCACATACTTGTTCATGGTATAGATGAGAAGACGGAATTTTTAAAACGAAACAAAGCCAAAAATTAAAATGGTGTCAACTGAGGGAGGGGCTGAGATTTTGTGGGAACCCTGACCCTTCAGTTCCTTTCTGCAAGAAGAGCCTGCCTCTGAAGCTCCCTTTAGCATTTCTGGGGACAATTTTTTAAAAAGTGCAATTAGTAATTACTTTATGAAAAGCTAGATTTGAAGAAAAAAAAATCCTCCTCTTTTTTTCCTTACATAGGTACAAAGAAGGTGGTGAAGCCCTCCTTGTTCTGCTTCCTTCAGAAGAAAATGGCATGATTCAGCAGCTGTTGCAGAAAAAGGTTCCTGTCAGCAATATCAGGTAGGTTCTTTACCAGTTTGTACATAACTTAGTTATGCATTTGAGGGGGAAATAAAATGTGATTTCTTTCCCCTGAGGCCTTCTTTCTTTTTTACTTCACAAAAATGATTTTTTAAAACTTTTTTTAAAAATTAAAAATGATACAGAATGTAACGAGAGTATCCACTGGCAACAATTATTATCCAATTATTTATTTTTATAAATAAAACAAATATTACATGTATTTCAAATGTCCCTATTTTCTAGGAAAGCACATAGGAAAAACATGTTCCCATTATTTCAAAATTTTGGAGAAATGGAGGTCTGTAAATATAATCAGTCCTTTCTGTTTCTACACCTCCTGCTAGCAATTCTACTTTTTTTCCCGAGCAAAATGATGTGATCTGCCAACATTTAATCTGTTTTAGCAAAGACAGACTGAACTCCGTCAGCAGCAAAATTACACAGAATGTGAGATGATTTGGATGCTATGTGGATGTGGTGTGTATAACATTAACATCAGTAATGTATTTGTCTTTTAAAAAACTTTATCATTAGCCCCCAAAATAAAATTGGATAGAAAAAAATGGCTAGTGCAACTAATAACTCCTGCCAAGCACCCACACATCCTTTTAAAACCCACTATTAAAATATAATATTTTTCAAAACAAATGTACTCCAATCTTTGAAGAATTGAACGTTTGGGAAACATGGCTGTAGTACACAGTTCCTATGCTGCTACATTAAAATGCTAATTCGAAATAGGGCAATGTTAAATTTGTAGCATTAATGCTGTTTTAGTCTTTCTCCTCCAAGCAAAGCTCAGTTGATTGCACCGATAGTCCCTTCCTTTGCTCCTAATGACATCTGTTTTATACCTTCATGCATACAAATATAATTGCCATTTGCTACTAATATCCAGTAGCTCAAATATGCACAAAAAATAGTTCAGGTGCTGCACTGAAGTAGCTGTTGGCTTCCAGTAATGCTGTTTACAATAGTGGTTTAAATCATGGATGATAAAACGGGAGTGCAGTAAAGCTGGCAGATTCTTGTAAATGGTCCTTTTTGGTCTTCTCAAAGGAATTTAATGATTTTCAAAAGCCATTTAAATAGCAGAACTGGAGTTTGTTAAGAAGGATGCTCATTTTCGCAGCGGAAATAATGACCCAGGATTGTTTTAATACATAAGAATATTGTACCCTAAGTCTAGCTGAAGCCATCTCCTGATCACTGTTTTCAAAGGCTGGAAAAGGTAAAAAGGGCTGGTGAGATAAAGGTGAAGAGGTTCTTGAAAACATTCAGTGGGTGTCAGTACCTGTTTAAGGAGGTACACCGAAGTTAGGGCTGCAGAATTCAGCATACGAATAATATCCGCTTTCTGGTTTTTAAACAATATAGAGAAGGGTTTCCTTGAATGTCCAGTAAAATGTATTGTCCTTTGGACATTGCTAAGACTTCCCCGCTTTGTGGTTTTGTGTCCTGCACCAGCAGTTAGTGTGTAACACCAATCTTGTTTTCTTATTTTATATGATGTAGTTATTGATATGGGTTAACCATGAGGAGACCCATACTCCATAATCAGTTAATTCTATTCTCCAATAACTAGGCTAATTTATTTCTGTGTGGTTTTAGAGGATGGCTCCTTATCCTTTCTATAAGCTGAGTAATTTTTGTCCTCTGCTTTCTTTTTGATAGTTTTCCAAATACTAAAACAGATATTGGAATCTTCTCTTCTGCTGTCTCCACCAGCCAGTAACATTTCCTTGTCTAGACTAAACATACCTAGTTTTTTAAAACGCTTTGCATTGCTGTCTCTATATTGCAGTCTCTCCTTTGAATCTTTTCCGGTTGCCAATATCTTCTGAGACATCTGGTGCCCCAAATTCTAGCAGATTTTAATCAGGTCACACTAATGTTGAATAATATGGCATTATTATTTTCCATGTCCTGACAACCACTACTCAGCCAATAAAACCTAAAAATGGCATTGGCGTCTTTAATTAGTGCATCACTTGGTTGACTCAAATATTATTTATAAGGCTACAGTGGGGCATCCTGCTGTTGAACTGGCTTATTCCCTGATTCTTTGGTGGAGAACCACTTTGCATTTGTGTGTGCACAGTTGTGTTTGTGAAATAACAGTTCTGTTGAATTTCCTCAGGTTCAGGAACTTCCTAGTGAAAATATTTTTTAACCACTTAAAAGAATCTCTCATGAGAAATCTCAGTATGAAAAATTGCTGCTAAATGTTCAGCTCTTTCTTTCAGGATGAGCTCAGTTTTCTAACTTTTTTATAAGTAGAAAAGGTAGATAATGTTAATTCTATAGTTTTATCTTGGAAGAATGACCTTCTTTTCTGGTTCAAATTTTTTTTGGGGTAAAGGCTGGAATTCCAGGTCTCTCAGCAGCTCAACTCCCGAGCTGGCTGCAAAAACTCTTCCATTTCAGCACTTAATTCAGAAAGAACCACCATCCAGAGCACACGTGGCTTGTCTCATGATCTTCCTTTGAATCCACCTCCCAGCCAGTGTTCTCAGCTGCAGTGGTTCTCCACACTTTGGAGAGCATCAGCCCATCATTATTCCCCACGGGAAGCTTTGTGTTGCTTCCATTATTCACTTGAAGAGAACACCACATATCAGTCACCACACCTGATATGATTTCAGCTGGATATTGTTCACAGTAGTTTTTATCCATTTTAAAATAATGGGGAGGGGAGATGAAGAATTCCTCCTATGAACATGAGACAGGTCTTTGTAGGCCTTTAGGAGAAGATATGAGAAAGTCTGTGTGGTTTATCTTTCTCTTTTCTCTGTGACTTTCTCCGCTCTCCCAGAATCAACCCTGAGAAACTCATAGATGTCCAGAAGAAATTGCAGTCCTTATTGGCTCAGGATCAAGATTTGAAAGAACGCGCGCAACGGGTAAGGGCATAACTATTAGTGCTATTGTTGCATAGCTGGCATAGTTGTAGAACCTATATATTTTAAATATAGTGCTGAGTAAGATTTTTGTTTATATGGGTTATAAGAGATCTGAAAAGACATGCTTGTTTTTCAGCTGTCTTGTCTTTGGCTAAAGTAAAGAGGTATCAGAAATGAATTGAAATTAATCAGCAGTTCATAATTTTTAGGCAGTTCCTGTCCTCACACTTAATACTCTAAAAGACACTGTGTACAAGGAGAGGGTCTGGAGAGGGAAGAGGGTAGGAAACAAGATGATGGTAGTTAGTTCAAATGGATGAAAATGATATGCATCTTTCAGGTTGATATGGTATGCATCCTTTGTTTGGGAGGTCTCTTTCCTTTCTTCTCTTCTTTCACATCTCCTGTAGCTTTCTGTTCTTCAGGTCAAGATGAATCTGCTTCTTGTCTTTTCAGGACAAGTTGATCCTTTAAAAGCCCTTCTGGTGATAGTTAGGGAAGCAAGGTCATGGGTGCTCAGGATTAACAGCTCCCCAAGTTGTTTGGGGTTTTTTCCCCTTTCCCTCCAGGCAAGATGATTTCTCAGAAGGCCCTCAAGTAATAATTCAAGCATATATAGTTTCTTATGAAAGAAGATGAAACTCAGTACTATAGACTTAATATCTTACTTGAGAGCTCTGAGCATTGAACTGTCAGCATGCCAACAGCAAGACAGTTGCTTCTTCCCATACTGGCCAGTGAGGCAGGTGGCTTTCTTCCAAACAGTGAATGTCTGCTGACCATAGTGCTCTTTTATTTAAATATTTATAAATCTGTTTTCTCACTTAGTTTCCCAAGCTGTTACAATATTATGGCAGGCCTTTAAAATTTAAATCAGAAACAAAAATAGGGTGAAATTCAGCCTCAGCAATAAACCGTTGGTAAAATAACAATGTAACTGCTAACACATGTGGCTTAAACAACATTCATGGCATAGGACCGGGTTACTTGTGGGATCCTCTCTCCTCAGTTGTATGTACCCATCCTGTGAGATCCAACAGGAGAAGCATGCTCTGGGTCCCATCTGCTAGGGAATGTCATCTGGCAGGTACCCAGAGGAGAGCCTTTTCTGTTATAGTACTTGGCCTCTGGAACATCATTCCCCTGAGGATTAGACTTGCCCTGACTCTACTAGCTTTCCATAAATGCCTCAAAAACCTGGCTTTGTTGCTGAGCTTGGGCCTGAGTTGTGTGACTGAACCCGAATCTTGGTTATATTGAGGGTGTTGGTTAGTTTTTCCTCAGCTCCTATACTTGTTATTTATTGTAATTTATGTTGTTTTTATCTTTTTATTTCCTGTTAGCTTCCTGGAGTCATATGTTTGAGATGGGCAGCCAAATAAATTGAAAAAATAAATCAGAACTAGTTAAAAATAATTTTGACTGAGGAGGTGTAATGGTATGTGGGAATGACCTTGGGAGACAGGGCAAAGTGACACAGCCAAGGGAACAGTCAGATAAAAGTCAACTTAGCCCACAGCAGGAATGTGGGCAGGGCAAGTGGTTCGGAAGAGACCTTTCCTAGTTTCTCAGGCTGTAACGGGGACAGGAGGAGAGATATACTTTCAGACTTGCAGGATTCTGTTAATGTAACCTTACAATAAAGTAGAATTAGCTCATCTGGTTGTGTTTCCTGTCTGGTCTACCTTGCAAGGCTGACAGGAGGTGAACTGTGCATTCCTTGGGAAGATGATTGGGACTGAAGGGGCCACTACTAAGAAGACTTTGTCTCCCCTCTCCTGCAATACTAGATGTCCTATTTATATACGCTCAACTTGAATTTGAGCATAGGTGTGAAGGTGGGGATCAGGATCATGCTGAAGAGAAGGACTGGCCATGTTCTCCCCCGCCCCCCCCCCCCAAATTTCATGCACGTAGAAAGGAGGAGGTAGCATAAAACTCTAAACTTTTGCACCAACGTTTGGGCAGTAACAACCAGTTTTATTTTAGTCAGTTTTGACATATCTTTGTGAGCTTGCATTCCCTTATTTCTGTTGTGCTTTTGTGATTGAGTTGATGTGCCTTGGTTTCTTCAAATTGTAATTGCACTTTTTTAACTTCACTTGTTAGTTGCCATAAATATTTTATAGAGCAGCTGGGTGCTGCTGATAATAATTGTCATCCCTGTAGTAGTCTGTTGGCCACCTGAGTTTCCTATTGATTTGGAAACATAAGCTCATACAAAAAGAACAGATTTTTTAAAACATATCTAGGGACATTTTCTTAGACAACTTCATAAATTAAAAGAAAAAGCATTTCTACAGCTTGAGAAGAATGTATGAGGTTTCAGACTGAAAAACAAGGGAAGGAGGAGATGTCCAGAGGGAGATCCATATGAAAGGGAAATTGGTCTTCTTGAGCTTTTAGCAAAACTTCCCAGATGGTTAAGACTTGAGAAATGTATGTCGCAAGATTTTAAAAAAACCCTCCCTTCCCTGCATTATATAGAAATACTTCAGAATTAAAAGGACAGATTTTTTTTTCCTTTTTTCACTCACTCTATCCTTTACCAATAAATGTTCACATCTGGGCATGGCAGGGCAAAGAGACGCAGCCAAGGGAACAGTCAAAACTTGAACCTTCTAGATGTACAGAGATGTAAGAAGCTACTTTATTCTATGTCATCTGTTACTTCATTGTAGCTTAGTACCATTAATTGTGATTGGCAATGAATTGTAACCTGTCTAGAAGAGAGGTCTATTTCATGTCATCTCTACTTTATCCTTTTATTGTAGCAAAGGATGGTCTTTGGGAAGGAGAAGAAGACCTTTCCTTTTTTCCTCCTGAAACTCATGCTGTGATATAATAAACAGATTTCCCTTGAGTTAGAGTGGTTCCTGATGATTGCATGAACAAATTCATCTTGTTTTCTTGAAAGAGGTTTGCCACTGTCTTTTTCCAGGTTTGCTTGTCTTTGAATTTCCTGCTGATCTCCCATTCAAGTATTAACCAGGACAACCTCCATTTTACTTTTCAAGATCAGCCAAAGCTAGCCTAGGACTGCCATCTGTTGTGACCTTTGTGTAGTTCATCTTTGAGCTGCAGGCAAGGATCATATGGCAAATTGATTTCTTTCTACATTATTATTAGTTCAAAAAGGATTTACGTTAAAATAGTGTAGTTCACTTACTAGATTTTTATATTTGTTTTTGGTGTGGCAAAAACTTGCATTATGTATATCTCTACATATATCCATATATAATGAGAACCAACACTTTGCAGTTCATAAGGAATTCTGAAGTAGAATATGGCAAAGCTCAAATCCTTTTGTAAATACATACATTTGAATAAAAATAAAAATTGTTGAGATATAGAAGATGGAATATTGAGCTTGCCCTGAGAAGATCTGAGGTTGTATCATGTTTTGGTTATCATCTTTGATTACTTTTTTTTTTCAACTTAGCTTACTTTACTGGATAAAAATGAAGTAGAATCAAGTAGAAAATTTAGCCTACTGAATCCTACCCCCTACTTAGTTCAGGAATCCAAATTAATACATTCCAAACAAATGGCTGTGTAGTCTGTACTTTAACATATTTGGTGACTCATAGCAATATGGAATCAGCTACTGTTCCGAGATCTCTTTTGCAAGTACTGTTAACAAGCCAGATTTTTCCCACTCTATACTTGTGCCTTTGATTTTCATTTCTGTGCGCATTTGTTTTTATTAAATAATTTCTACTTTCAAGCTCATTTCTCTAACATACCAAAATAATTTTCAATTTTATTTCTGCTTTTGATGATACTATCTCACTATTGTAAATTTGATGAGCCACCTCTTTATCTAAGAACAAAAATATTGAAAAGTAGAAGCTCCAGGGCTGCACCTTATGACACTCATTCGGTATCTCATTCTACTTTGATGAGGAACCATGGATATGTAGTCTTTGAGCTTGCTATGTGCACATTTAATTATCATTCCATCCAACCCACTTTTAACTGGATTGCTTAATCAGTATGAAATGGATAGTGTGTCAAATGCATTGCAGGAAAGAGCATTTGATTTCTTTACAGCGTTCCCACAATCCATTCAGGAAGCTATCTGATTAAAAAAAAATGACATAAGGTTGATCTGTCAAGATTTATTCTTCAAAAATCCATGCTGATATTTGATAATCATTGCTTTTAACATGCTTACAAAATTAAGTTTTAAGACCCACTCCAGTATATTCCCAGGTGTTGATGACAGGCTGATCTATAGTTTCTGAAATCCTTGGTTTTTTTCTTTTTAAGATAGGAACATTTCCTCTCCTTCAGTAATCTGGCACTTCACTAGATCTCCAGCATTTCTCAGAGATAATATATAAATCCTTGGTCAATCTATCTGCTAGTTTCTGCAATACCCTAGGAGGCATTTTATCTGGCCTGAAGATTGAAACTCACTCAGACTAAGCAGATATTCCTGCATCATGTTTCCATCAGTCTCAAGCATCAATCTCTTCAGTCTGCCCTTCAATTTTTTCTGATTTACTTTTGTTGGAAAACATTGAGTCAAAATAGGTGAATAGCTCTCCCTTTCTTTGTTACGTGTTAGAATTTTGCTGTGTTCATTGAACAACGGGTATACTGATTCTTTTTGGTTTTGTTTTGTTGAACATATCTGAAGATTCTTCATTTGTTCTTAACATCCTTCATCAATGTCAGCTATTTCTGAATTTTGTTTTCCTGATACTGAGTTCCAGGCTTCATATTCTTTCTTGGTAACCTGTTCCTCTGTGTTTTCAGGTTTTCACACTGGCTTTTTGTCTAGTTGCCTACTTTTTCTGTTGCCTTCCCCCTAGTTGGAACTCTTGTTGGAGTTGTTTGCAGTAACCCGTACTTATTCTAGTTTATAATCTTTATGTATTTCATCATAAACTCTGTAACAAAAGGGAGGCATCTGCGTGATAAATTACATCACAAAAGTTAATCACACAGAACTTGCATTTTTAAAAGAAGCCATCGAAACTAAAAACAGACCC